TATATGTAAATATCATTCGCTAATTATTTTCATTTTCCATCAATAACAACCTGAATAACAAAGAGTGGCTTGTTGTACTGGATGCTTCAATTCATTGTCCTTTCAGACACTAATTTGGCTGCTCTTATCCACTGCTCGCACCGCTTTCAAATTCCATCACTACAGCGGGAACTGTACCAGTATCTGGAAAGTGAACTACCTTCCGAGGACTGCAAATTAAAACCGGAAACTCTAGCCGACGCTATTGCTGAAGCTTTGAATGCACACTTCAGGTGAGCGAACATCAATTATGTGTCAACCATACAAGAAGCAAACTCGAAATTTTTCAGTCCAAAATTCATAGCTCATATGTACAAAAAATTTGGTGAACATGGCTTGGATAAAATGCAAGAGGCATTGAAAAATATGCCGAATACGTTAGCTGAAACGATTTTGAGTGAGGCGCGAAAGTACACGGTGAGCTTTTTTCTCGAATTTGTGTTTGACTACCGTTGCCGTATATTCGTTGACACGAAGATGAGTTTCAGCCTGTGATCACTCAGGAGCCCATATCGTCCACATATCATTGGAATGATTTCTCACGTCGGATGTTTTTCTAGGTGCTTTGTAAAATACCGGTGCTACCGCCAAGCTCAATGTTTATGTATTTTATTTGAAATGGGTACTTTACAGTCTGTTTTTTTGTTGCTCTGCGTTTCTGTAGATAGTGGTGTATAGGTTGCGAGAAGGAGGCACGTGGCCAGTGCGTACCTGTTTTTCATTGTTTTTACGAGGAATGTCATGTTATGAGTTTTGCTTTCTTCAAATTAGTTGTGCTTTTTTTATCTGCTCGCCAGCCAGCATGAGCTGGCTCCTGTGGTGTATATAAAGGTGATAAGAGACGGTTGAAAAAGACGCATGTCTCTCAAAAGGCTCCAGAATAATTGGATTCATCATACAGTCATACAATCTCTATATCGGTGCAGTGCTGACTGCTTGATTCAGCTTGTAGAATATGGGCAGATGGAGAACATGAATTCGAAGAAGATTCGTATTGCTGTCCCTCCTTTGAGCTAAGCGTTCGCTCCTTCTTGTATGCCGAGATGAGCCGAGCCTGAATTTCCTTATAAGAAGTATCAGCAATGCAATCAGCGATACGACTACCTGCACTGTCCAAGCTCTGTTCAAGCGCAGCATTTTTCTCTTCTTAATGGGGCAGCTGCTAGCTCGCCTTTGCCTTTTGTGTTTTGTCAGGACCACAGCTGCGTTATTACTGCTTTCGTCGTCATCCCAAAACCGTCGCCTCTCTATAAGTCTGTTTTTCATTTTTACTCCTCGTATCAAAGCTAGTTATTGGAATCAACTTTCACAAGCATGCCTCAGTAGTGTTGAATGTCAGAATTCGCAAGCAAGAAGCGTTAGCTTGCTTCAAAGGTCTCAAAAAACGGTCAAAATAGGAAGAGTTGACCATGTTGATATCCAGATGAGAAACATACTGTTGTCAAGTAATAATTAGAATTGCGACAAAGTTTCCCCACCTTTAATGCATAAACTCGAGAACCAATTTCGACATGGCTCTGCCTTGTGTCCATATCTGTAATATCAGTGATAAAAATAGA